GCCTGCCCAGCCCCTGCCAGACCCTCTGTGGGGTCCCCCCCCTTACACGAACGCCCGGGCGGCGTGCCCGTCCTCTGAGAGCACAGGGGTAGTGGTGAGACACGCCTTCCGACTTTCCTCACAGTTCTTTCCACGTGGCTTCGTCCATGTCCTGGTGGCCCGTGAGGCCGATCCCTGTTCTGTAGACAAAGAATTTGTGCTTTGTCTGAGTGGCCAGCAGGGACCCAGGCCTCCTCCCACCAGACCCTCCTTCCTTCCCAGTGCTCTGCCCGCCCTCCCTCTTACCTCCCTGGGGGTCTCTCCCACCGTCCCCAGCCCATAGGGCTCCTTTGAGTCCTCTCAGTTGATGGTAGGGTGGGAGGGGTCTTACCAGAGCAAGAACATGGCTGTGACTCTACATTTCAGAGCTCAGGGATGACAAGGTAGAGGTTATTGATGTCCTGGTTGTTGTCAGTGGAACACAGCAAGGAACAGCCAGACCGGGAAAATACTGGGTGCATTTAACCTCCTGCTGGGCTTAAATTCTAGTTCCAGTGTCCTCTCCCTTCCCCCCGACAGCAGCTGTGATGGAGGACACTTGCCCTCTTCAAGGCCCGCTTGGCTGCCTCCTGGACACACCCGTCAGCCGGCCTGGCCTGGCCGCCACGCCCAGCGGTAGCTCATCCAGTGGCCCTTCTGGAGCCAGGGGGCAGGGGAGCCCCTTCCCCACCGGTAAGTGACTCAGCACGGGCCCCACACCTGCTTCATTTTCTCCAGAATTCGGTTTCTTCCCTGGTGACTGGGGTCAGGTTCCCCAGAGAGCAGGCCCAGTGTTGGGCCTCTGTCCGTGGACCAGCAAGGGCGCAAGGTGCTCGGCCTGGGTGGCCTCTCACCCAGACCCACTTGCGGATTTCCTGTGTGCCTGTGGTGTCGAATCGGACTCTCGGACCTCCCCATCAGGGCAGCTCTCGTAGCAGGAGAGGACAAGGTGGCCATTAGAATTTTTCTAGGTCTTTTATTACAATTTTTGCAAATTTTGCATTGTTTGAATATCTCTTTTTATGTAAGACATTTTTAATTATTATGGCATGAAATTGGCACTCCTGAAAAACATACCCCATCTAGCCTGTAGTTTCAGGTGTCGTTTGGCACCTCTGCTCTGGGGTCGCACCTGCCCAACTTGGAGAAGCATGAGCACAAGATTGAGGGCTGCCTGTTGAGGCTACGGGCATTACTTACCCAGCCAAAGTCAGAGGCTGGAGCTGGAGGAGGTCCCGGAGTGCACAGTCTTGGTATTTACGTTTACACCGGAAGAAAACGGGGGAGACCCCACCTCCGCCAGGAGGGACTCCTGGAACGTGCCTGTGGGAGCTGGCTCTCCTGGGGCGTGGCTGCCCTTCAGGGATTTAGAGGCTGGAGAAGCCTGTGCTCTATGGGGACCAGATCTGGGGTGATTTCTCAGGGTCAGGAGCCGGGGTGAGAAAGACCTCCCTGTCTCTCTCGCAGCAGAAACTGCTGACAGGCCAAGGTCCGTGGAGGAGGAGGGCCCAGCAGCCCCGGGCGGGGAGCCCAGCCCTCCCCCCTGTAGCCCCGGCAGGAGGGAGAGCCACGGGAATCGGGAGAGAGGGCCCCCGGGCACAGGTAAGGGGCTGGCCTTCCTGAGACTGGGGCCTGCCAGGAGAAGGAGGCGGGCTTGGATCCAGTGAGGCAGCGTGTGACCCTCCCATCTGGGCCTCCTCAAAGCCCTGTATGGCAGATGTCATCCTGTCCTGACGGGTGGGAAATCTGATGCCCTGAAGGCCCCACGGGCACCACCATCAGGGCCACCCTGACTACGGCTGGCCTTGCAGGAGCTACAGGAAAATCTCCAGGGAACAGCCCCTTGCAAGGCCTCATCAACTGCCTGAAGGAAATCCTCGAGCCGGGGCCCCAGCCCTCCGAGGGGCCCCTGGGCATACCGCATCCTGTCCCGACCGGTGCTTCACGGCTGACCAGAGCCGAGCTGGGGCCTGCGAGCCCACCCTGGGCAGGTGAGTCCCTGTGGGCCCGCCTCCTCAGGCCAAGATTTCTGACCCCGTGAAAAGCTCAAACTGCCTTTCTGTAGCTCCTTCTCTATAAATATAAGGTCTTCATAAAGTCTTCCCTAAGGGCCACTGCTAATGTGGCTGCTCCAGGATCATCAGTGTCATGTTTCTGGAGCCACGTGGCTTTGGTAGAACAGTGCTGGTCAGCTAGTAGAGAACACTCAGAAACAGACTTCGCCCTGCATGCTTCTGTGTTCTTTACCTGTCCTCATATGGGATGTCTGAGGAGGAGATGCTGAGTGCGTGTCATGTTGGCACTAAGTGGGGTGCTTGGGTGGACCTGGGGCATTGGGGTGACATGGTGGGGACAGGGGCACCCACACTGGACTCCAGCACCTGTTAGCCTTTGAGCCTCAATTTCCCGTCTGTAAAAGGGATAATTGTTCCCACCCCAGAGGGCTGTTGTGAGACTTATGTACACTAACGACCTGTATATGTGCATGTTTGTAAAAAGCTTGGTCCTCCTCAAGTTAAATTCTGTTCAGGGCCCAGAGACCCGTCTACAAATAGTGCCGCAGTCTGCCTGCTTCCTTCATCTGTCCTCAGAGCGACACCACATGTTCTCCTGTAGGATGCACTTTCCCATTTTCCTTTCATCCATCCCGTTCTCGGAGGTGGTTAGACAGGCATTTTCAAACTGAGCACTAAGAAGACAGTGTCCTGTGCAAGGCTAAGTGAGTTACAAGAAGACCCACATCTCAAGGTTTCTGGCCTTGGACGTTTTAACTGTGTACCTCTTTCAGCTGTTTGTCACCAAGACAGAGGTCACTGGGCTCAGGGTGAACACGTGTTCCTTTTCCCTATAGTGAAGACAGAGGCAACCTCAGGGGATTGTCCCCTCCAGGGTCTGCTGAACTGTCTGAAGGAGATCCCGGAGCCCCAGGACAGGCATCCCAGTCTCTCAGGGGCTGGGGACTCGCGGCTGCAAGAGGACCCGGCTGCCTGGAAGAGGAGTTCTGGAGGTAAAGGCCACTGACTGGGCAGGGAGGACCCCTGGACGTCACCCGTTTCTTCTCCCTGCTCCGCACAGCAGGACCTCCGGCCCACACATCTGTGTGCTGGTTGGAGCACTTACATGTCAGGGGTCATCACTGTGAAAGGAACTGGGCGGTAGGAAGAACAATAAAGTGGTAATATTCCAGGTTGGCTCTTATGGTAGGAGCTGAGGTTCCAGAAGGAAGGAGGGGATAGTTGAAGGGAGAGAGAAAATAGAAGACAGCTCCGCCGGCAGACATTCGGGGAATCATTTTGACTTGGAGGTTCTTGTCACATTCATCTGGGCTCACCAGTGGTTCTTAGTGACCCAGAACATTGTGGAAGTGGATCCGAGGTGGGCGTGCTGGCTTGGAGGAAAGCCCCGACTTGCTGCTGCCTGGGGGGCTGACTTGACAGCTCTCAGGAGAAATCTCTGGAGGCAAGGGTGTGATTTGGTCCATCTGCTGGTGATTGAGCAGTGACTGCCTTCAAGCTGAGACTGCTCTAGGGACTGTGGGCCTTAGAAGCCCCATCCTCACCCTATAAAGGTCTCATGAAAGGCTTCCCACAGGGCCGCGACCCCTCCAGACCCCTCCTCCCGGGCCTGGGCCTGGTCCCGGAGCTGGCAGCGTGCTCTCTGCGGTGAAGACGGAGGACAGCTGGGCCCCGAGCCCCCTGTTGCCTGTGTCCTGTCAGCTCAGCAAGCAGACGCACAGCCCTGCTGCTGCTGGCAGCCCTGGGGACAGCGGAGACACCACCCGGGTCCGAGTGTCCTGCTGGGGCCCTGCGGCTCAAGGTGAGGCCTGGGGTCGTCTGCTCAAGTCCTCCCCGGTGAGACTCTCGGCCCCCCAACAAGGTTCTGCCAGCCACCAGGGGAAGGGGCACCTGCCTGTCTCCTGGGCAGAGAGGCCATCCCCCGGCCGTCCTACTCAAGCAGTTAATCCCTTCCCTTCCTCCCCATCCTCCTTAACCCAGGCCTTGCCCAGGGCGCCTTCCATTGTAAGGACCTTCTTTTTGCAGAGAATTCCTGACTCTCAGAAAGCTGGCCACTAGGTGTGCATCTCTCTACCCCGCCCCTGGGCCTGGGCTCATTCCCCCTGATTGAGGGAGCAGAGAGCAGATCAGAGGCCCCACAGAAGGGAGTCCTTCCTGGCAGCCTCCCATGCACGCCTGGTGCAGGGCTCGCCACCCCTGCGGAAGGCAGGCCGGGGCGGCCAGCCTGGGGCTGGGCCGGGGGGACGTGCCAGAGATGGTGATAGGGCCATCTCCCCCGTCCCAGCCGGCAGTGCCTCGAGCTCACCCCTGAAAGCCCTGGAGGCCTGTCTGAAGGGCATTCCCCTGAGTGGGTCGTTACCTCCCCAGCCGCCCATCACCTCTTGGTCCCGGAGCCCCCAGCCAGGAGACACCGGGTCTCAGAGGCCCGAGCTGCAGCCCCTCGGATCACACAGCAAAGGTACACGGCGCCATGGGCTTGGGGTGACGTTTGTCCCTGTGCATGGGATGGAGGGGGATGCTGAGGGCACCATTAGGTCCCCCTCTCCTCATCCCAGGCCTCCTGGGGCACATGCCCCTCTCCCCAGCCCCTCTCACACCTGCCCCCAGACAGCCCCTGCATTTGGTGGAAGCCAGTGAAACCCTCCTGGCCACTCCCTCCTCTGATGAGCTCTCACTTATCCTCTAGGCCCACGAGACCAGCGGCTGGGTTTATGTGGGTTAATGTGCTGTGGTATTTTAATCTGTGCCCTGAGCTCCCTAACCTAAGGGGAAATCCCAGTCAGAGATGCGCTGGGGTAGATCTGGGCGCCCATCCGCAGCTCAGGGCCCAAGGGACCTCTTCTGTGGTTTTCCCATGATGCCAGCGTGTTGTTCCCGCAGAGGTGATCATGGGGCCTCTTCTGGCTTTGGGCCTGCAGGGCTGCATGAGAGACAGCCCTGCCCTCCCCCCAGGCTCCCAAGGCACCCCCACCAGCTTCTCCTCGTCCAGCAGCACTGACGGGGACCTGGATTTCCAGAGCTCTGAGGGCAGCCAGGGGCACCGGCCTGGGAAAGGTGAGCTGGGCGGCCAGAGGTGGGGAGTGGATCCTGGCGGATCCTGGAAAAGGACTGGAGCACCCCTCCCCCACCCCCCATTGTGTGTCCCACCCAACCAAGTCTGGCTGCAGTGCTGGTACCACCAGCAGAGCTGGGGATGCCGCGACAGGAGCAGAGACAGGACCTATTTTGGGGGTCTATTTTAGTGACTTGGCTCAGAAGAGACAGGACAACATCTAAGATCTTTTAAAAAAATGAAAAGAATCCCAGTTGCAAAGAAGTCAGTGTCTGTCACAGCAGACTACTTCCAACTCAGAAAAATCACCCTGAGGTTTGTGTAAAACCACCTTAAAGGGTGTGTGTGGTGGCCTATACCCAGGTCCCTCTGAGCAGAGGCTTCCGTGTGAGCTGTCACCTCTTTGGGACCTTACAGGACCCTCTGGTGTCTCCTCTCAACCTTTTTTCCACCTGAATAATCCCAGGGCTGTCTGTCTGCCGTGTCCATGGATACCAGGTCCCTGGGGCTCACCTCTGTGTCCTGGCCTCGCCCACTGTCAGTGGAAAGGTCTGGGGCTGCACCTGGGACTCCGCCAGGCCAGCGGGGCCATCGAGCAGGCCCGGGGCCTCCGGTGTCCGTGGGCCTGGTTCCTGTACCTGCCACGGGCCATCTCTCGAATGTGGGGGTTTTTACCTCTCAACATGCCGCTGACTTTTTAATTTTTAGTTTTCAATAGATAATGTGGTCATTTTGGAGGCTGGGGAGGCTGTGGAGGAAAGGTGGCGGCTGCCTCCCTCCCCTGCCCTCCTCCTCCAGCCTGTGTCCTCCCAGAGCCGCCGCCGCTGCGGGTTCTTGCACTTGCAGGGACTGCACGTGGCCGGATGCTCTGTGCACTGCCTGTCCCCTTGCTCTCTGTCTCAACACTTCCCTTTGGCGTCTTCCTCTGTTTGGTCTCAGGGTCCGTGGACACTACCGCCCCGTCCCCATTTTCCCACGGCTGTACCGTGTTCCGCGGTCCACGGTCCCGACCAGTACGTTCCTTCTGTGCGTCCTTTGTCGACGGCCCTGATTTCCTAAATCACCCAAACAGCAGTTTCACGCCACATCATAGAGGCTTCCTCCCCAGAACTCAGCAGCGTCCACAGGGAAAGCTTGGCAGAGATGTCACCTCACTAGGAATGGCCTTCCCTTTTCTAGAATTTCGGTCCATCTAGTTCCTGTTGCTTGCACAGCTCTATCACTAGAAGTAAGATTTTTGCAATCTGGTTTTTTTCCAAGTTGAAATGCATTAGTGTTCCCCTTCTCGACCTGCTACGTCATGAGCGTTTTCCTCTTTGAGTAGTGATGATGACCTTCCAGCCTCGGGGACCCTCTCCCTCATCACAGCCCACTGGCCATCTTCTGTGTAAGTGACCTAGGCCTGGTGGCTTCTCCCAGGGCCTCCCAGAGGCAGGACCGACCAGGGTTTAGAGCCAGGTCCCGTCCAGGTGCCCTGAGCCGGCATGACAGGCCCCTGCTCTGTGCCGCCTCCCGTGGCCCCAGCTGCGCTGGACACAGGGCACAGGCCAGGCTCCTGGGGTTTGTAGAGACCGAGCTCCAGCCGGCCAAGACTGCAAATGTTGGGTTTTCACAGGAAGCCCTGTGGGAAGCTCCCCGCTCCAGGGCCTGGAGAACTGTCTCAGAGAGATACCTGCACCTGGGCCGCAGCCTGCCGGGTCCCGGTCCTCAGTGGGGGACAGGGGGCCACGGAGAGCAGAGCCTGGGAACTGGACAGCAGACAAGGAAGGTAAAGCACTGCCCAGCATCTAAGACGGCCATGGAGCTGCCTCCCCAAGGCCTGCGAGGAGATGGCGCTCTGGAAGTGGCCTGGCCAGAGGCTTGCCGGTGCCAGAGTAGGGGGTGGAGCAGGACAGGACACCCAGCCCCACGGTCTGCTGCTCCGAGTCCAAATCTGAGCTGGGGCTTTGGCAGCGGAGTGTCTGTATCCTGGCTGTGTTGGCCCTTCGAGCCTCAGTGTCCAGCATAGCCAGTGAGCTGTGGGCCTCCCAGGAGTCTAGGTGGCTGGGTCTGGGAATAAAGAGACCCCAGAGGACTGGAAAGGCTTCCGTGAACATCTGCAGGGCTGGGCTGGTATCTGTCCCACACCTAGAGCTCGTATACCCGAGAGTCCAACAGTGGTGGGAGTTGTTCTCTGTCCCGGAACTTCCTGGCCTTGGTGCCAACACGGGGCCCCTGGGCTGATGGGCCACTGGCTTCTTGTTAAACCAGGAATAAGAGGCGAGGCCTGCGAACCAGCCCATCTGGGACAGCATCGGGGGAACGTGCCCACCAGGAGCCTCCAACTGGCCAGCCCGCAGGTGCTTGCCTCTGGCACCATCCCCACCTGCTTCCATCGAGGCCTCAAAGACCCTGGGGCCACCAGGCCAGGACGGTGGAGGTGGCTCCAAGATGGTGAGCAGACGTCTGTCCCCGTACTTAGTGGCATGTTTTCCCTCCAGAAAAATCTTTGATGAGAGAGTAGATTCCCCTTCTCTCTTATTCCCCTCTCCCTCCCCATCTACATCCATCCGGGATGCCAGCCGGGGCCTGTGTGTATTTTGCAAAAGATGCCGGCTGGAGTACTCTGAGGTGTGCTGAAAGAAGATAAAGCGACCCAAAGTGCTGAGAACAAGTGGGGAGAGCACTGCTTTTATCCAGCAATTGGGTTTTTCTGGGTGAAGGGTTATTTCCTTTATCATTCTAGGTGCCTGAGGGCTGGGGGTCTCCTGCTGCTGCCGCAGCCGCCACCGCCACTACTGCAGCTTAAGCTTATAGCAGAATTCCTTCCTAGATTTGCTAAAGTCTGGTAGGGTCTGACTTACTTGAATAAATACAGTATTTCTAAACTCCCACCAGGCAGAAACTGGCTTTGGGGAGCCCTCCTGTGGACAGAACTGAATCTCTCCTCAGGCTTCTGGCCCTGAGTGAATGCAAGTAGGAGGAGCTGCCCAGCTTATAAGACCCAAGGCCTGGCTGGAAGCAGACTGCTAGTGGCTTCCAGCGTCTGTTGACTTCTGGAAGGTTCCCCAGCTGCTTTCTAGAGCAGCTGGAGACCAGGCCAGGCTCTGGCTTTGCTTCTGTCCACCTTCCATGCCCAGTGAAGGAGCTGCTCAGGGTCCAGCAGAGCTGGTGTGGAGCGTCAGCTGAGCTGAAAGGGGTCTGGCTCTGCAGGCCTGCCCATTGAGGCAAAGGGTCCTCCTGCCTGTTGTTGGGCTGGTGGACAGAGGGTTCTTTTGTTGCCATTTGCCAGAGCCAGCCTCCAAGCCCTCCCCACTCCACTGCCTGGAGAACTCTCTAAAGGGGATCTTGCCCGGGGGGCCCTTGCGCTTCGCCTGCCTGGCCAGTCCCAGCGCCAGCACCAGCGCCAGCCCTGGCTCGAGCTTCAGCAGCTCAGAAGGAGAAGACCTGCGGCTGGAGCCTGAGCTCTGGCAGCCCCTCCTGCTGGGTGAGCTTGTTGGGGAGAGGAGGGTCGGGAGCCCCACCCCAGGGTGCTGGCACTGCCCTGACACCCACTCTGTTTGTGACAGAGAGGGATCGCCTTCCCAGCTGCAAGGGCCTTGGCCCTCTATCCCTGCGCCCTGGCGGCCCCTGCGCTCACAGCAGCCCTGGTGAGGGCCCAAAGAAAGGCGAGCCCAAGTACCACTGCAGTCTCAGTGCAGGTGAGCCTGGGGTCTCCTAAGAAGGGGGCGTGTCTCCCAGGAGGGCCGCTAGTCCAGAGATGGAGTTGTCTGAGTCCCACCCGTCACTTTGCCTGACTCGTGCCAGAAAGTTCTCTACTTTTGTCATGCTTGAGGTCCCATAGGATGAACTGTGTCCAAGAGAGAAGTTGGAGTTATTGAGGCACATGGGGCCCCAAGAATGTTAAATGAGTATGTTTCATTACCCTGGTAATAAACTTAATACCTATACGTTATATATAACGTGCACATTACACGTACTCCATAATGTATGTACCTGTATACACTGTTGTGTCGGCCCCAGCCTGTTGTTGATGATGCTCTCAGCTAGGAATGCCTGGGGCGCTCACCCCAGCCTGTGTTACTTGTAGGGAGCAAGCCCCACATACAGTTCCCCACTGGGGCCAGTGTTCCAGCTGGGCTGGCCCTTGAAGTTCTTACAAAGATCATAGGACGCACTTCATCAGGGAACTTTGAGGAATGGGATTTATTATTCACAGGTCCTAGAGGTTACATGGTATACCCAAGGGGCACTCAGCAAATTGTGGGGAGAGAGGCCGTGCATGGGCCTGGGTTCTGTCTTTATTATGTCGAGGGTGGGCTGTCTAGTGTTTGGCAGGTTCACGCTTTATTGGCCTATTTAAAACCCAAGTGTGGAATTAGGGTACAGGAAGGGAGAAGTGGGGGTACCCCAGTGGTCAGTGATCTAAGGTATCCAGATCTGCGAGCTGCCTCGTTCCTTACCTGGTTATGTTGCCAGTAGCTGTGTTCGCTGATATGTTTATCCCAGAAGGATGTCTTTGAGATGGATGCCTTGACAATCAAAGCTTAATGGCAGGTGCTCACACTGCCATTATGTGTATATATGTATACGTATGAATGTGTGTAAAGGAAATAATAATGTACATTTGAAAAAATGGGCAATAAACAAAAATAATGTCAAAAGTGAGATAACTGTCTGGAAGAACTTGGAGGTTGTCTTGTCAAGAAAGCTGGAAACAGCTGCCTGCTACCCGAGGCCACCTGGATTATCAGTCCAAGCTTGACCCAATGTTTGCTCCCAGCAGGAAAAACAGAAGAGAAGACCAGAGGCAGGTCCCAGTTGCCCTGGAGAGAAGTGTGCTGCTCAGAGACCCCAGGTCAGCCTGGCCCCCTGGGCAGCACTGGAGGAGGTAGGGGTGGGTGGGGGGTGCAGGGTCAGGGAAGGGAGCTCACCCCCCGCTCCCACACTCAGGCCAGTGACTCCACATAGTCCTTGGCCTTTGTGCAGGCCCTTGCTGGACCCACGATCCTCACTGCCCAGTGCGCCTAGTGGGAAACAGCCAGCATGGCCCCCAGGCCCCCCAGCTCATCCCTGGAGGGGCCTCATGGGGTGGGCCTGCAGGTCGTGGCCCTCTCCACCTGCTCTCCCAGCCTCCACCTCCTGGTAGATCCAGAGGCGTCATGCCAGAGTTGCAGAGGACTCCAGAAACAATACCGCCCACCCTGACCACTCGTGCCCCAGTGGGCCATTCAACCAGAGATGGGCCCCCAGCAACTCCGGTATATTCATCTTACATCTCATTTAACCAGTATTTGAAAGTTGAAAGTTTGATTTTTATTTTTTAGGCCACGTCCAACAATCCCCTGTCAGAATGGCTCTGGCAAAGTGGTGTGTGTCCACACCCCAAACGCTCTGTGTTTTTCCTGCAGGGACAGCTGTCGATCCCTGCCCGGCCCCTCAGCTGGAGAAAAGAAGGGGGCCAGAGCCCTGCCAGCCCCCTGGGTCAGCCCATGGTCCCCTGTCCTGGAAGCCGAGGGCAAGTGAAGAATCTAGGGGCCTGGGGCCTGGAGACGGAAGACCAGTTGTTACAGGTGAATTGACGGCCTCCCCACCCCATCGCATCATCATTGCTGGGGACCCTGCAGGTACAGGGGCTGCTGGGGCTGAGCGTCTGCTCGGTCACCCACCTCCCTCCCCGTGGCTCAGCTCCCTCTGACAGGGTGGGCTGGCCAGACCTCCAGAGTCACAGCTTGGGGAAAGCTTTTTCTTAACACCCTTCCAGGCTCTTTGGGTCATAAGTAGGAAGAGTTCACCTCGAGCTCGCTTCAGGTTGCTTGTTTCATTTCAGTGTTTTCCTATAGAAATAGCTGGCTTTTTCATAAAAGTACACACTTTGTAGAGGCAAAACAGACACTGAGATTTTTTTTTTACCAGAATAGATATGTCCAGAATCAAAGTTTGGGGTCGGAGGGGACTTTAGAGAATAGATGGGGAAACTGAGGCTCAGTAATGTCGAGCGCCCGGGCCGGGGGCGTCCCCGGAGGGTGATTCTGCATCCCCTGACCCCGAGAAGGCTCTTCCCTAAACCGCATCAGAGACATGCCTGCGGGGGCTCCGTTGTATGGGGGCTTGGCGACCTTGGAGGTGCGGCTGCTCTGTTAGGAGCGCGGGGCTGGCCCAAGGCCGGCAGACCCGCTGCCCCCACCTTGCCTACAACTCGACACTGTCGCTCACCCTCAGCCGAGATCCTTCCTGGGGAACTTTGCTGGGCAGCGTTTGGGTCCTTGGGCTCCAGTCTTCACTTTCTCCTCTGTCTGAAGCCCTGGAGGCCCTGAAAAATACAGGCTGGAGCCGGGCTGGGGACTCAGACATGGCGGGAGGGTGGGTCTGTCCCACAGCTCCGGTGGTGACAGGGCTTCCTTGTGAGGCTTGCCTCAGGCGGGGCCCAGTTCCAGGGGAACTGAGGGTGAAGGAGTAAGGTAATTTTTTTAAAAAGTAGCTTAAGCTTTAACTTACTTAAGACTATAACTTCTGATTGGGGGGGTATGTAAATGTCAAGAGGGGTGGGGACCCTTGTGCTTTGCTTTTGCCCAGTAGTGCTGGGTGCTGACTCGGCCCCCTGGTCAGCCCCTAGAAGCACCTGGGCCTCAGGCTGGACTGGCCCTCCTGGGCCCTCGCCCACAGCCTGGCCTCATGCCATCTGCAGCATCTCCAGGCCCTGCTCGCTGGCTCCTAAGGGCAGAGTTAGGTGCTCTGGGACACCAGTAGGGCCAAAGGTGGCACAAAGAACCCACCAGTCCTTTTCCTAGAAGGTGAGGAGGCCACTGTTCTCAGCAAACTTGGTTACCGTGGAGACCCAATCTGTGACCTGTCTTGCACATGGACTTGGGGAACAGCCTTCGATGCTCCCCACCCTGAGTTGCTTCCTTCTTGGCTGAAGCCAGGCCTTGGTGGGGCTGGATGCCAAACGCACTAGCTAGAGGGACCCTGGGGGAGGAGAAGGTCTGACGCTCCAGGGCTCTCACCCTTGTCCCGCTCTGGTTGCAGCCAGGACCGGCGGGAGGCCCCTGCCCCGAGGTCTGCCCGAGCCGCCCGCCGTGGCCGCTGTCCCCCCGGCTCTGCCGCTCGCC